ACTTTTCCAAGGTCACATGGCTCTTTTTGTTTCATTGCTGGATCTCTAACCCAGGTCTCACAATTCCTACTGTCAGTTACTGGTGTGAAAATCCAGTGACTTTCTATTGACCATAATAGTTCTCAAACTGTTTCTGTGGAACCACTGGTATTTTCATAATCAGGTGCAGACTTTCCTACCACTAGTAGTGAATATGATAATTACTTCAGAATTGGCAGAAAAAATGGCTAATGGAAAATTAGGAACTTGTTTTGCTGTTTGCTACCACTGGTTGGCTGTAGACAGTTAGCAAATAACAAAACAGATATTGAGAAACCATGAATTGCTTTCTCCAGGATAAGTTTAACAGCTTGCATTTCTTTTAAAAATTCATATAGTTACTGTTGTGATTTTTATATTAATTCATTTTGGTAGTCATATTTTTTGTTAAATATTCAGAAACATTTAATAAAAACCCAAGACATGGTGGGCAGTTATGCTCCGTTCTGGGGCTATGAAGAATAGATTCCATCCCTTCCCACAAATAGCTTATAGTTTAAATTAGAAATGGGAACAAAGGGAGTTGACAGTGATCAGTTCTTCTTGGGCAAGAAAGGCAGGAAAGACTTCATAAAAGAGGTGACATATGAGCTATTTTAAAAGATCTGTAGGGTTCTCTACACATAAAAAGATAAGACTGAAATAAGGAAGTGTTCATTAGGCAAATGGAGAGGCCATTCTAATTAGGGAGAACTTTGTGAAGAAAGCAGCAAAAAGGTATGAAAAGGCCTGCATGTCAAAGTACTAGCAGTAAGTAGTTTGGTATGACTAGAAGATGGTGTGTGAATGGGATCATAATGAGAGATTGAGCCAGAGAGGCATTGGGACCAATTCAAGAATGGCTTTCCTTGTTATATAATAGGAAATTTGGACTTTATTCTGTAGACGGTGGGGGAACCGTTAATATTTTTTTAAGCAAGAAAGCAATGGAATGACTGGTTCTGTGGATTTTTTGTTTTTAGTGTAGATAAAGTGTAGAGAAAACTCTACACTTTATTAAAAAAGGATAGATTGGAGTGTTGTCAGTCTTAATGCAGGGAAACTAGTTGGGGGATTAATGTAATAATCCAGGCAGGAATTGAGGGCCTGAAGTAAATAAAGCTATAATAATAGAGATGGACATGAAGAAGTCCATCTCTAAAGAAACTTGGTGATGGATTGAATTGAGAAGAAGGAATTGAGATTGACCTCCTGGTTCATGGCTTGTGTGAGTAGGTAGATGGGTAAGATTCACCATGATGAGGAATAAAGAATTGGTTTAGGAAGGACAGTGGTGAGTTTCGTATGGATACATTGCTTTAAGAACCTGTTGGACATCCAGTAGGTTATTGGATATATGGGGTTGTAGATACAGTTTTGGGAGCCATCAGTATACAATTAATAGTTAAAATCATTGGAATGATAAGGTTGCCCAGAGAGCGCATCTACGGCAGGAATTCTTAACCTGCAATCCATATATCCTGAGATTACCCAAAATGTTACATGTGTGACTATTGTTATGGAAAGGTCCCTAGCTTTTATCAGATTCTTAAAAGGCAGAAACACTGGTTTAGTGTGAAAATGGGCCAAGGACAGAGTCCTGAGTATCTGCATTGTTTAAGTGATGGACAGGAGAAGGAGTCTCAGTGAGGAAAGCAGAGAAAGAATAAGAATGAAGAGAGAATCATGATATTGAAGTCTAAGGAATGGGGTCAGGCGCTGCTATGGAGACGTCAACGAAGATGAGGACTGAAGAGATCATTGGTTTGACAGAAGATTAGTAAAATTGTTCCTAATTAACAAGATGCAGTTAATTTAACTGTGTTTGCATTTAATGAAAATCCCTACAGAAGCACCATGGTTTCCAGGAAATGTAACAACCATTGACCTACAATAAAGTTCTAATACCTCAGCCAAGTGTTCAAGGTTGTTTGAAATTTGCTCTTGCCTTACCATTACAGTTTTATTTCACTTCAGCATTCTGACCTTTAAAGCTAGACAAATCCATCTCTTCACTGTTTTCTAGATACTTCATGTAAATCTTAGCTCCAAGCTTCTGCTCATGTTTTTCATCCTGCCTACCACGTTTACTACCCAACAAATTCTATCAGTCTTTCACAGAGTAGTTTGTTCTGCTTCCTCTGCTCCCTTTTCTGATTGTCTGACCAATATTGACTTCTCTAAATATTCTAATGGTATTGATTGTTTTATTTGTTTTGGCATTTAAAATTATATTGCATTGCTACTTATTACGCATATTATTGCCTTTTCCCAATGATGTTTCACTCCTGAACACTTGTGGTATCTTATATTTCATCACACCCCTTAGTAACTGAACTTTCGTCTGCTTATTATACATACTAAAATATTTGAAAGAATTTAACTTAAGCCATAGTGGGGAATGTCTAAAAGGAAAAATTCATATGCTGCATTCCAAATTACATAGGAGTGATTTATGGATCGTTTTTACCATTGTACTCCATTTCTATAGGTAATCAAGAGTTGATTACATATCAGAATAACAGTGCATATGAGCTTATGAACTTTTTGGCTTTTTATATGGAATTTTAGGTTATTGAATTAGTTTGTTTCTTAAATCAGTGATTTTTCAGTGTAAAAATTATCTTATTTTTCAAAATAGAAACATCTTTTTTGGATTTTAAAAGTAATATATGTTTATAAAATTTTTTTAAAAGTCTACAAAGAAGTGAAGGATTACTAATTTCTACACTATTTTGCCAATGGCAGTCATGTTTTATAAGCATATTTACTGTCCATAAATTAAGTAGGTACCACTGCAATTAACATGCAAGTGACTCATCCAAGATTTAATAATACAATAAAGTATTTTGGAAGTAAACTTCAGTGGCAGATGTTAGTTTTGCTGGATGATAATTTAATCATTTTACTTAAAGCCAATATTTCTATTCATTGTTTGCTGGAAACATTTTGGTATAACGCAGAGCTATGATAGGAAAAACTGTCAGAAAAAAACAGGACTAGGGTTGCATTGCTTTATTCTGACATCAGAAAAATTAAAAACTTTTAGAATTAAGGGGAGTAGATATGTTATATACTACCAATTGGATCTCATATTTGCTTCTGTGTGAACAGATATCTGCTAACAACAGTCTCCAATTGTAGTAGTAAACTGACAAGAGGGAGAAATCCTTAGACCTTAGTGAGGCTCAGTTTGACAGATACTTAAATGTATGTCTAGGCTTTTTTTTTTTTCTGGAACATAATATATATATTTTCATGGAAGTATAATTTTTGTGCATATTCTTACATCATAATTTAATCACATTTTTAACAGGAAAAAAAATTTTTTTGACCAGTTTTCAAAGAGAAGCAAAGTTCTTTTAATTCACAAGAATTACTGCTTGTTGAGTAATATGTAATAAAACATTAAGATGCAGATAATGGAGATAAATAGACTCACTCATGCATGCGTGACTTGTCACTGCACAGCTGCCTCACAGTGATCCTCAGTCCAATTTATGCCTCAGCAATGTGTCAAATACCACATGGCTTAGACCTTTGAAGTCATTTGTCATTAATAAATTATGAATATTAAAACAGCTATTATGGGCATCCTTTATAATAAAAACTATTAAAATTTTTAGGGGAAAACAAATGTATCCCAGTTTTTTCAGTATCTGTAAATTAAAATGGTAAAAAACTGTCAAGTGAAGTTTAATTACTTTCATATTTCAGAAGCATTTTATGATCTTATTTTACCCCAGGGCATGTGGATATATGTTAGTTTTTCAGAGGACCAAAAAAATTGAGAGACTTCACTTCAGAATGTGTTAATTATACATACTTCACTGCCTTTTTAAAGAGAAACTTAATGAACATGGCATTGCCTGACTTTAAGGAAAGAAAACATAGTTAAGTCACTGGCGTGGAAAGGCAAGATTCCAGGTCCCATGGTAGCCAACAAAAGTCTGAAGGATAAGTCAAAATATTTGATCTTCCGTGGCTTGAGTGCCTGCTCCCTAGTCCACTCATGGGTGAGTCTAAATGAGTCAGCATTCTCCAGAATAGTGCTGTCCAATAGAAATATAACGTGAACTGCAAATGTCATTTTAAATTTTCTGGTAACCACATTAAACAACATAAAAAGAAACAGTTGCTCCCTAGTCCACTCATGGGTGAGTCTAAATGAGTCAGCATTCTCCAGAATAGTGCTGTCCAATAGAAATATAACATGAACTGCAAATGTCATTTTAAATTTTCTGGTAACCACATTAAACAACATAAAAAGAAACAGCTAAAATTGCTTTCAATAACGTATTTAATCCAATATATCCAAAATATTATTTCAACATGTAATCGATATTTTTAGAAAGTTAGAGATGTTTTATGTTCTGTTTTTGTACTAAGTCTTTGAAATTCAGTTTGTATTATACTTAATAAAGCAGATCTCAATTTAAACTAGCCACATTTCAGGTTCTCAGTAGCTTCATGTGACTAGTCATGACTGTATTGGACAGTCATGTATGTCTAGAACATCGAGGGTGATGTGCACCCATTACATTGACAATGGGACAGTGTTAAATTATAGACCTTAGCGAATGCCTACATGTAGGTATGTTGGCCAAGTTAAGCCACTAACCTAGGTCATAACTAGTTAGCTTTGGGACCATCTATTTCCATGATCAAGATAAATACTTTTTTGTTTAATCTAATCACTATTTAGTAAAATATTCCTAAGTTTCAGTACCTTTATCTTTCTCCAGTTAAGACTCTTAGCCTATTGTTGAACATGTTATGCCACATCTAAATTCTACATTTTATGTAATACAAAGAAGGAGTTTTATTTGTATGATTTGTACTTCATCTGTTAGGAACATGTGACTCTTTACATATTCCGAATTGTTGCTAAGAAAAATGATAATTGATACCTTTCTCTTTAAGATATTTAATTATTTTAAATAATATAATCTGATTTGCATTTTCTTTTGTATTTTAAGGATATGGAATATTATCTTGTTAAATGGAAAGGATGGCCAGATTCTACAAATACTTGGGAACCTTTGCAAAATCTCAAGTGCCCATTATTGCTTCAGCAATTCTCTAATGACAAGCATAATTATTTATCTCAGGTAAAGAGAGGCAAAGCAGTAACTCCAAAAAATAATAACAAAGCTTTGAAACCTGCCCTTGCTGAGTACATTGTAAACTGAGTACATTGTAAAGAAAGAACAAAGCTTTGAAACCTGCCCTTGCTGAGTACATTGTAAAGAAAGCTAAACAAAGGATAGCTCTACAGAGATGGCAAGATGAACTCAACAGAAGAAAGAATCATAAAGGAATGATATTTGTTGAAAATACTGTTGACTTAGAGGGCCCACCTTCAGACTTCTTCTACATTAATGAATACAGACCAGCTCCTGGAATCAGCTTAGTAAATGAAGCTACCTTTGGTTGTTCCTGCACAGATTGCTTCTTTGAGAAATGTTGTCCTGCTGAAGCTGGAGTTCTTTTGGCTTATAATAAAAACCAACAAATTAAAATCCCACCTGGTACCCCCATCTATGAATGCAACTCAAGGTGTCAGTGTGGACCTGATTGTCCCAATAGGATTGTACAAAAAGGTACACAATATTCACTTTGCATCTTTCGAACTAGCAATGGCTGTGGCTGGGGTGTAAAAACCCTTGTGAAGATTAAAAGAATGAGTTTTGTCATGGAATATGTTGGAGAGGTATGTGCAACTTACCACATAGCAAGTAATGTGCATGTAAGGTTTAGACTTTTGAAAAGTTACCTTTTTACTTCAGTCACATAAATATTTGGTGCATTTTAGTATTATCATTTGGAAATATGTAGAAATTCATTTTCAGATTTAGGAGAAGAGTTCACTGGCATAGTTAGGAATATAAACTTTTATATAAACAACAAATATATATAATAACAAATTAAATTGATATAGTCAACTTTCAACACACTCATAGTCATGAGCCTAGAATTTGTAAATTTCAAAATATGACAACTATTTTTTACATAAAAGTCCTAATATGAAAATCAGATCTAAACATGCTGACTTTCAAATTTCAGGTTATGATTTACTTCATCCATTTTGCCAAAAATGGTTAAGTGTAGTTGGCAAAACTCTTTTGTATGAACATGAAAGACATTACAGAGAGATCAAAATCACACAGGTCACAGAGTAAACAAGAGCCAGGATTCAAAACTACAAAATCAGTGCTCTTCAGCACTGTACCACACTGCCTCAAACTGAATGGTGGCTTAAGCTGGAAAGATAAGAGTGTGGCTGCATACTGGGCCTTGTCAAATCTGACCGGTTTTTGCTTTCTAAGTTATAAATTAGTATTCTTAATTTTTAATTCATGTTTGAAAGAACTTAGAATACATTTGGAATCTTAACTCCAGAATCTTACAACCTACAAAAA